CTTATGTGAAGCATAACTGTCATATGAAGTATTTTTCATGAGGAATGCTGATATTTTCCTCTAAGTGAAGATTTAATCTGTAGAAAAATCACAAACGGCTGTGGTATCGCTAGTGGAGACTAGAGACTGATATTTAGTACAATATCGACCCAATACGTTGATAGGTTAAGATATGAAGATCACGGTTTTATGTGACCAGATCGACTTATAGCACCCAATCGAGGGTTATTCATCCAGAAATATTTGTAATTTCCTGATGCCTTAAATCACGATCTATTCATGGAGTACAACAAATCCCTGGCTTGCAATCCAATTTTATTATTGCGATTGTTGCATACGTGCGTATGAATAGAAACGATTGTGTGGCAAAACGTCGTCTTATCGTCGTCATTACTGCATTAAATTTTTATTAAACTCGTTACTGAAAAGTGTTTACTGGGTTGAATATGCAGTAATACTGTTTTCTGTTCAGTTGGTGTGGTTGATTCCAGTGTTCTCCCGTTTGTGTTTCAATTTTGAGAATTGACTTCGATGTGAATGTACGATAAATTCACTACTTTTGCTCATTTTCTTTGTTGTTTGGCGGAAAAATTGATAGTGCTTTATTGGAGATGTTCATTTATTTTTCATTCGAGCATTTTCAGTTGAGAAACCGTCATGCCTACAATTGGAAACCGTCGTCGACGTATGTTCAATATGAACGAAGAAGAGGTGAGACTTTTCTGAGCTAGCTGAGAGCATTTCTATATATTTCAGAAATCGGGTATCAAATTATATTTGAGGCTTAGGCTTAGAATAGGAATGCGTGTTGTTGTTGTATCTCTGTTATTGTTGAAGTAAAATTAAGATTTGTCTTAAGTAATTGAATTTTGCGTTTTTATTTACGTTCGAAGAGAATTACATTCCAAAATTTTAGGTATTATTCATTCGTAGGATTAAATTATTTTTTTGTTCATACTCTTTTATTTGCATTTCGTTGGGGATATGAACACATAGATATGTTCACTTTGTTTATCGATGAACTAGTCACTTTTGCCAATGTCAAGGTATAATTTGAGGCGGCGAAAGCTGATAAGTATGGCCGTGAACTGGTCGTGAAGACTGCCGTTGGAGCCGTTTTGCAGCCAATAGCCAACATCAAAATTCTGATCCAATTGGGCTATGAGCCGTTTCCGCTTACAACTGGTAAAAAGTTCGGGATTGGCCGTGATGCATACTTCCTACCAAACTTCCTTTCTTATGGTATGTTCTCAACGATTTTCTGTTTCGTTCCCATAAAATTTTGAAGATGTTTAATTTGAAGTTTGCAAAATGATCAAATTTGAATTTGTAATCAGTGCTGGAAAAAGTAAATCTCATAACTGAAATTTCAAGAGTGATAAATGATGCGTATTCGGTGTCAATAGAAGCATTCGGTGAAGTGTCAGATCAGTCGATCAGATCAGTGAATCGATCAATCGATAGTTGAAAATTCACTGCATTTCAGGACGAAATCTGTTGAACAAGCGTGGTTGGGCACCACTCTACAACGGTGTTGATGCGGGAATCATTTCGAATCTGTTCGGTGGCACAGCTACGTTTGCTACCACAATGGTGCTTTCTAGTTTTACAGTTGTTTTTTTTTNTTTTTTTTTGCTTGTTTTTAAACAGTCTGTTATTCTATCATTTTAAATCTATCCCTGTATGTGCGTTTGCAGATTGCCTTTTAGAAAATATACATCGCGAATTGATTGGTGCGAGTAATAGGTGAATGAGGGAGTTGGCACTGCCTACTTTTAAAAAAGAACAAAATTGTTTTGGGAGAGAGCATTCTCAGAACTGAACTGCTGCGAAATTCGGTTTGAAATTCGGTCTCAGTGGGAGGCTTGTGCGGAGAAATTGTGCTTGAATGAGGGAAATGAACCATGGTTTCGTTTGTGATAAAAAGATAGTTTGGAGCAAAATCATTTGTTGACTTGGATGGTTGTTTGCCAGTGATGCGTTATTTGGAGGGTTTTTTTTTTTGCAGTATCTGGATCGATACTTCGCGGATTTTGGTGGTAAAGCGCTGAATTTGGAGAAAGAGGAACGTGAACTGAGCGATCACGAAAGTTTTCAACGTGTTGTTCGCGCCGCAGTTCGTCAGACAATGGCCAAAACGGTTGGCGTGATTGTGGCACGGCCATTCACCGTGATTATGGTGCGTAAAGTGGCGCAACTGATCGGTGGTGAAACGAAATACGCCGATGTTTTGTCATCGATTTATTTGGTTGGACACGAAGAGGGACCGCGTGGCTTCTTTGCGTATGCCTTTGTGCTTTTGTTTGAATCGTTTTTACTTCAATTAGACTTCGATTGAGTTTGAATTTGAATCAGTTTTGCGGAGTTGTGATGGTTGCTTTAGGGTGGATCGTTAAGAGCAGCCGGTTGTGAATTTTTGATTTGTTATCCAATGTGATATGTTTGTCGAAGATAATGTTTGGCTTTGGCTGTTACTTTTTTGTTTTTGTTTTGGTGATGAGGTGTTAGTTTGAGGAGTTATGGTGTTGCTGTTGGAGCGATGTAGTTTAGTGAGTGATTGATTATTGGAAGCATTTAAGGGGATTGGTACCGCAACTGATCGCAGAATTTATCACGATTTGGGGAGTGCATACGTTTATCTATGCGGTTGAACGTGGCATGCTTCGTGCTCAAGTGAGTGTCTCGTTTTTGATGTGTAAATTGTGATTGGATTTGTGATTTTTTGGAAGATTTATTTTATTTTTTTTTTTGTTTATGTGAATTGGTAGTGTTATGCGAAGAATAGGTATGGTCGAGAGGAATGTTACGTGAAGAAATTTAGAGGCAAACGCTTATTTATCAAAGATTTTGTTGCTTTTTAAATGTATCTATTCAGTTGTTTGTTTTTTTTTTTTTGTTAGGATTTTGTAAATGATGGAGAAAATTGTTTTTATTTTTAAGGGTCCTGAGCACATAGAAGAGGCTGACAAAGAAGAACTGATGACCTCAACGAAAAAAGTGCTTCATTTAGTGGCACCGTTCATTGTGAACACGTTCGCCTATCCATACACATTGGTATCGACGATTATGGCTTGCACAGGATCTGGGTGAGTATCGGATCGGAAAGAAATTATTTGTTGCGTTTTTTTTTTGAGAGAGAGTTTGGAAAGTGGTGTTTGGTAGGTGGTTTATTTAGTTTGAAGAAGAGTCAGCATTACTGCATTGTTCTCTGTTGTTGTTGAAAATTTGTTAGTTTCAAATGAGAGAATTTCTTTTCATCAGTTTTTTTTTTTTCGGGATACGGGGTGAATTTAGGTGAAAAAAGATATACTTGGGAATTGTTGAGGCGGATTTTGGATTTTTTGTTTCTTGGGGAAATTGGTTTAGAAAACTTATGCATGGGGATTTGTGTTTTATTATTGGCAGTTCGGTTGTGTGGGGGTATGTTGCCATTTTCGAGTTAATTGTTTTG